TTAGGAAAAAAATTACAACAAAAACGCAACTCAATTGATTCACTGAATGAGCCAAATTTCGCGATGTTCCTTTTATCAATTTCCACTTCAATGGTTTTATTTTGGGGAAACAAATCTGCAAAGGGATGAGTTGGAACAATAAATCTAAAAATTGTAAAATTGTGGAGGATTGACTTCTACTTATAACATAATAATTACTGTTCTATCTGTGCGATGTTGCAGGGAATGTTTGGTCATGGGTATTATATAGAAGATAAACTTGATTCTTTATTTTACTTTTTTTTTCAGAAAGTACATCAATTCTTTTAGTTATGTTTTACTTTTGCTAAAAAAAGGTTTCTTCTAGCTGTTATTACTTGAGTTGTACTTTAATATTATTGACATATTGTATAGATAATCAGGATGAAGTAAAAAAAGAAGAAAGAGTTAGCATATGTCTACATCAATTTATTGTGCTTAGGATTATCACATTCATTGTAAAAGTTTTCATAACATGAACGCAAAAAAGGAACGAACATATCAACTATAAGCTATTGAATAAAATCTGGCCAAATAAAATACCGATGTGTTTTTGGCGAATTCTTAAAACTACATGACTGAATTTGGTTCGGTTTTGGATTAGTGGTTGGCACAAACCGAGCCAGTTCTGATGAAGTTCTTCTTAGGCCAAAAATAAGCCTTAAAACCAGTCTAGTGTTTAGACCAACACCACATTGGTCAACCTCTAAACTGGTTTATAAAAGAACTAAGCTAGAATTGAGGTTATTGCCAAACGCGAAGCTAGAGTTCTCATCCACACTATACACACAATTAGTGCTGTCGATAAACGAAGAACAAGCTTGGCAGCGGCCGTGGTTCTCAACAAAATCCCCCAAGAGCCTGAAAATGTTCTCATAATTGGAAATCTCTCTAGAGATGGCGAAGAGGAGTGGAGAGGCGACTTTTTTCAACAAGACAAAGAAGACAGGTGATTATTCAAGAATCAAATCAACTCAGGTATTTCCCTCTTCCCAACGTGGTTTACTTGGTTCTTCCCCGCGCCGTCATGTTATTCATGATGTTTTCAAGGGATATGTGATCTCCAAAGTCTTTCAATATCCTCCTTCTTCACTTCCCCATGCGTCTCCCCCCGCTCCTTTGTATTAGCAACGTAATCATTTTTTCCCCCGTCCGTTCAACTCTCTCTTCGGTAACCAGCAATCAAATATTAATAAGTATGGGGATCCCCCCACTTTCTCCTCTTTTGGTTCTATGCAAAAGAAGCTGGGGCTTTCCAAACCTCTTTTGGATTCTGATCAAGGTTGGACGGTGGTTATCAGGAAAAAACAATCGAATAAGATGGACAGTAAGTATCCCAAATATCCATTACCATCTGATTATATTGATCCTAAACAGCCTAGGCGTTGCTTCAATTGTGGGGATGAACGTCATTCTGTGAAATTTTGTCCTAAAGGAGCTTTTATTTGTTTCAAATGTCATGAGGAAGGGCACATAGCTAAATTTTGCAGATCTCATCTTCGACCTCTTGGGAAGAAGATTGATTTGTCTGAGTCTGAAACTCTTTTTAACAATTCTAAGGTACTTGCTGCTTTTGCTATCCTCACGATCTCTGAAGGCGCTCCTTCCTTAGATTTGATTAAAATCAAATTATCCTGGCTATTCAATTGGAAATCTTGGAGAGGAAAAGTCATTCCTATTCAGGACAAGCATTACTTGGTAGAATTCCCCTCTTCTTTTCAGATGTCAGAAGTAATTGATGAAGAAAACTTGGATTTTGAGTGCTTCAAGGGCCGGTTTGCACCATGGACAGAAAATTTGGGTATGAAAATTGTTAATTCTGCTTTCTTTCAATGGATTAAGATTAAAAATTTACCTTTTCAATTTTGGTCCTTGGATATCATTGAAAAGATTATTAGTTCTTTTGGTGAAATGGTGAGGGGTTGCAAGAACATTAAAGACATGGTTAATGGTCATGATGTTAGAGTTCTGGTCCAAGTTAAATCTGCTGAATGTATTCCAAGAAACATTGTGGTTAATGGTCATGATGTTAGAGTTCTGGTCCAAGTTAAATCTGCTGAATGTATTCCAAGAAACATTGTTTGTTCCTACACTTCTAAGATTGATTCTTTTACTAGAGAAGTTAATTTAGAAATTCAACCTGTTGGTGTTGGGCAAATTGGATCAGATGTAATTGGCATACATCTCAATGCTATGAAAATGCAAGGAGAAGTGATTATGGATTCTCAATGGCTGGATCAAGTCACCCCAGATGACGTAGATGTATCCCCAGCAGCTTTAAGATCACCGGAGAAAGCTCTTTCAGTTGCTAAATCTGACAAGGGCAAAGAAGTAATTGTATCTGATTCAATTGCGGAGGAAATCAAGGAAGATAATATGATGCAGTTATCAAAATAAATTCAAATATCACCTATTTTAGAAACAAACTTTCAGGCGGAATCACAGGCTAATTCTTCTAATGGCAGTTCTGATTCTTTTGCCATATCTCTTCGTGATTTCCCCGTTGATTTAGTCAAACATAATTGGAATGGACAAACTGTCTATTTGGAAAAATCAATGTGGAATAATATATTTGGCGGGAAGAATGATATCAGTAATTCAATCTCTTCAGCTACTTCATTCCCGTCAAAATCAAATGAAACCCCAGTTCTTCAGATGTCCTCATCTATTCCGCCAGGGTTTTCACGTAAGCAAGCTTCATCAACTGCTGCTTGTTCAGCAAGGAAATCCATTATCAACCGTAAACACAAGAAGTTCTTACAGCACATATCTTCATCCAAATCTGCTTCTAAAATTGCTAAAAAGGTACGAAACACAGTTCTTCTTCTTCTACTTCAGTCATGTTGCCTTTAAATGATATGCATAATGATGTCTTAGAAGAAATTGCGACAAATTGTGGAGTTTATTTACATGAAAACTCCATAGCTAAGTTGAAGTCTAAAGAAGTTGATAGAGTAGCTTCAGATTGCTAATTATCTGTGCTAGTAGTCATTTCCTTGAGGTTTTTTTATATAGTTCTCAATGAAATTTGCATAATGTAATGTGCGTGGTCTAAATGATCCAAATAAGCGGAGTCTGGTCAAAGATTTTATTCTTCGTTCTACTATTGACATCATTGGTCTTCAAGAGAGTAAACTCTATAAACCATCTGCCAGAAATATTCGCTCAATGGGTGGGAATAAAATTTCAAATTGGTGTATCTTAGACTCCACCGAGTCCAGGGGAGGTGTGATTATTGGTTGGTCTAACTCTTTCACCATGATACGTTCGTATGTTGGTATCTTTTCGGCTTCGGTCCTTCTGACCCATACTCCATCAAATTGGACTTTCACTTTCACCTCGGTTTATGCTCCAATTGATAGAGATGATAAAGATGTTTGTTGGTGGGAACTATCCAGATTACGTCAGATTTTTGAGGGTCCTTGGGTTATCTGTGGGGATTTTAATGCTACTTTATCATCTGAAGAAAGAAATGGCAGAAAAGGCTCTCTCCAAGATATCAAATCTTTCAAATTTTTTGTTTCTTCTAATTATCTTATTGATTTACCTCTATCTGGTCGTTCTTTCACTTGGTCCAATAATCGTCAGGATCCTGCGCTAGCCATATTAGACAGATTCTTTGTTTGTGTAGAATGGGATAAGAAACATCCTTTAAGTTTGCAATACTCACCTCCCTCTGTTGGCTCTGATCACTTTCCAATCATTCTTGATTGTAGAGGCATAAAACCCAATCCTCCTTTGTTCAAGTTTGAAAAGAGTTGGTTTCACAACAACACGTTTGTTCCTTTTATTGAATCTTCCTGGAAATCATTTAGTTGTCAAGGTACTCATGTGGATATGTTCATTAAAAACTTAATCTTCTAAAAAGAAGAATTAAGTGGTGGAGGAAGAATGTCCATGGATCCCTTTATGCTAGAAAAAAAAAATCTGC